TGCTGATATTTAAAACATCTCTCACTTCCTGAAAGGAGTCAATAGAAGAGCAACAACGAGAACTCTTTGACATATGACAATGAGCCTATTTTCTGCATAAATGCATTAGATGTGTCTCACAAACTTATTCTATCCCCTGTATGAGCCAGGGTTCAAGGTAGCCCAATGTTAACACATCATCTTTGCAAGTTAACGTGAACTTCATAGAATTTTGTTGTGGAAGTATTGTGAGGGGTATTTAATGTCAGACATAGAACCACAGTACAAGCTTCCAAGGTAAGATTTACTAGTGCGTTCATCAAAAGATAAATGCGTGTATATGCGACACACAGCGATTCATTTTACTGTTAAACTAATGCCTGGAAAAAAAGTTACCGGTTATTTTACGCAGTCGCCTATTTTCGAACTGAAGAAGTGAATGACCGAGAGGTTGCAGTGATATTTTTCATTTTTAGAAAGGGTTGATTTGAGTTTTTTTAAAAATATCTAAGCTTCCTGCATTTCTCTAACATAATAGAAACAATGCGTGAATTTCTTGGTTCCTGCAGTTGGGAAAGCGTGTTTTGACACAAATCGCCCACTTCCTACTGCTGGATCGTATTTTTCCATGCGGATGATTGAACGTTTGAATGAAACTCAGACCTCCATCTATAGCTTGGAGGAGCGCGTTTATAGGCTGATCACCGAAAATCATTACTAACGAAGTCTACAATGGAGCTTTCAACGAGTTTCACATGGTTTTTTAAAATTCCTGCCAGTTTTTCCTAATTATAGGTCCCTTGCAACAGACATCTAAGAAAGTGAGCCAGAACTGACTTCATTCAACATGGGATTTCAATAGCATTTTCGCAGAATGCCTTTGCTTTATGACTAATCCAAGGTGTCCGACAAATTAAAACTGATGCATGGACAAAATGGGTTTCATACACTTACCTTTTGTAGCAGGAACTGTACCACAAATCATTGCATACATAGTACTTTTGCCAGCACCATTATGTCCAAGAAGTACCGTTACCTGCAAAGGAATAACGAATAATAAGATATATTCATAACAAACGATTTTCTAAAAATGGTTGGCTAGTAGGACTCATGTTGAAGGAGGTTGCAGAAAGATGATTGTTGTAATGGAGGAACTAACCTGTCCACGGTAAGCCCTCATGCTGAAATCGTTCACAGCGAGTTCGCCAGTAGTTTCCCAAACTTTGCTTACTTTTTCCGCCAGAAGTGCAGGTTCGCCGGCAGCGTCATCCTCTTCGTGCCACGAATGGTGTTCCTCGTTTTTAGCTTCGGAAATCTCAAGTAAAATGCAGTGACTCCAGATTTTTCTCGCAATTGACGGGAATGGTATCAGATCGATGTGGACGTAATAATTTCAAGTCTGTGTTCCCAACCATAAACAGTTTCAGGGAGGAAGTTTAGAGGGTGAGTTTCAAACAGAACTTTGAAATAGCTTAGCATACTAGCAGTAGTGCTCAACATGGCACAATGTCATGCCGCGTTTTCTGCGTTCTACGAGAAAGGGCACTTTATACGTAATTAGGGATAAGTTTGACACAGCACTGGAAGCA